TATATGTCAGAACATGTCCTCATGCTGTACCTGTCACGATGTGTCCCTCACACCCACAGCTCTGCAGTCCTTCATGAGTTGTGTTCATCTGATGCTCTAAGCAGTATGTTTCTCTCTAACTGCAGGTGTGGTCCTGGTGATCATTGGCTGGAGGGCATTGGCCAAGTCATTATCTTACTCTTATTAATGTACTACAAGTTGCGTTAATGACAAAAGTCATTATATATATGAATTTTTTTAAATTGACCCAAAAGAAAAAAAAATCCATAAAATACTATGCACCTGGTACCATGACTAAGAATTCATGACTGTAGAATGTAGAATGTAGGGGCGCCTGGGTGGCTCAGTCGTTAAGCGTCTGCCTTCGGCTCGGGTCATGATCCCAGGGTCCTAGGATCGAGCCCCGCATCGGGCTCCCTGCTCGGCAGGAAGCCTGCTTCACCCTCTCCCACTCCCCCTGCTTGTGTTCCCTCTCTTGCTGTGTCTCTCTCTGTCGAATAAATAAATAAAACCTTTAAAAAAAAAAAAAAAGAATGTAGAATGCAATACTGTAGACAGTATTGACCAAGAATAATAATAGCAAGGCTGAATTTGACAACCCATAAGTGCAAAGAGACATGTTGATAAAATCTCTCAGCCAATGAAAAGTAAAGAGAGTTCCATTTGTTAATATACAAGTGATATTTAAACACAGTTTAAGAAGACTTTCCTGGGAAACATGCATAGAATCTTCTGTTTGAGGAAACCAATGCACATTGTTATTAATCTCATGGAACTGGAATAAGTCAACACCGATGACTTGGATTCAGCTCTGTGTAAATGGAGAACTCCCACATTCAGCCTGAGCAATGAGGAAGGTGTTCATTTCTCACATGGAAGGATGGAAGAGTACAGGGAGCAGAGGGTCAAAGTCCCATGTGCCTGTTAGCTTTGCCATTATATCTCTTGTCCTGAAATCAAGATCCCTGATCTCAAATTACTGAGAAGATGGGTGTTTGCTCTACAAATGAGATATTTTTTCCTTTTTAAAATATTTTTAAGAACTAAGCTCTCTGCTCAATGTGGGGCTCAAACTTATGAAACTGAGATCAAGAGTTGAATGCTCCACTGACTGAGCCAGTCTGGCACCTACAAATGCTATCTTATATCTTCTACAGATATGATAAGAGCTAGAGAAGAGGGGAGTCAAAGTACCAGAGAAAATCAACCATGACAGCCCAGCCTAAATCAGTGGCCTGAGGAACACAGTGGGGTTGCTGGAAAACCCAAAGCTGTGGATTGCTGGTGATAGAATCCCATCCTTGATGGGGGAGATTTTGGAGATAGAAGTGGAAGTCAGGACCGCTAAGAAATAGAAGGAAAAGGTTGGTTTTTGGTTTGGGTACATGCCTGACTGACAGGCTATTCATCAGAACGATGGGCTGCAATCTGTTGCCCAACAAGCTCCCACATATTGGTCCATCTGTATGGTGACCCCAACCCTAGACTAGGGCATCTTTACTTGTACTTTCTTTTTTTCTTTTTTTTTTTTTTAAGATTTTATTTATTTATTTGACAGAGAGAGACACAGCAAGAGAGGGAACACAAGCAGGGGGAGAGGGAGAGGGAGAAGCAGGCCTCCCACAGAGCAGGGAGCCCGATGCAGGGCTCGATCCCAGGACCCCGGGATCATGACCTGAGCTGAAGGCAGACGCTTAATGACCGAGCCACCCAGGTGCCCCTTTACTTGTACTTTCAATACTCATGCAAGTTAGGCCACTGGTGAATTGTCACCTAGAATCATCAAGATGGGAATTCTGGGAAATATGCCTGTTGGCCTTATCCACAATGAAATCACACAATTCAGCAGAACTATAATTATCTATGTGTGCATTCATTGACCTTTCACACTCCCATGAAAAAATGTAGTACAGTGAAAGGATTAAAGGAAAATGTACTTGGAGATAATATATATATTCAGAAATATACATGTATATATAGTCTAAAATATGTATGTATATTTCAGAGACATATATGCATATGTGGTTGGAAGGACTAAGAAATCAAACCAGGAACAATTTCAGTTAATACTGCTACTTGATACCTAAATTGATGATAAGATCTATGCAGTACAAGCATACACATACTCTGGGCTCAGTATTGGCCCCCCAAATTTCATGCCAAATGGAACCTCAGAACACACCCTCATCTAGAAATAAAGTGGACACACAGGTAATGAAGATGAGACCATACAGGATTAGGGTAGGTCTTGATCCAGCGATGGGTATCCTCATAAAACTGGGAAATTTGGACACAGAGACCTGCACTGAAGACAGACAGGGTTTGACCATGTGAGACAGAAGCAGGGAGTGGCATGATGTGTCTACCTGCCAAAGAATGCAAAGGATTGTTGGCAACTGCCTGAAGCTGGGAGAGAAGCCTGGGACAGATCCTCCTTCAGAGCCTCCAGAAGGAACCAACCTTGCAGACAACTTGATCTCAGGCTTCCAGCCTCCTCAATTGTGACACAACAAATGTCTGTCGTTTCTGCCGCCCAGCGTGTGGCACTTTGTTATGGCAGCCCCAGGAGACGAATGCAGTTCTCAGGGAGGGAGGGTGCCTTGGATATCCGAAGAACAGCTGGAGGCCAGGGTGCCCACAGCAGAATGAGAGGGGGAGAAGGAACAGCAGAGGGAGAGGAGAATGATGGGGTTGGGTCGCATGCGCTGGCTGGACAAGAAGACTGACTTTGGTGGTGGGTGGCCTGGACCCTCAAGATGAGCTGATGAGGCAGCCTCACAGGATCCGTCTGTTACCATGACAACAGGCACTAGGATGGTGATGTCGGCCAAGGTGGTGGATCAGACTGGGTTGGTAGCAGTGACAGTGATGTGGAGGTTGGACCCCAGGTACAATTGAAGTTAGAGCCATCAGAATTTCGTTGCTGGGTGGTGGGCTGAGAGAGAGAGAGAGTGTCAAGGGACACTCCATTATTTTGTTCGGGAAAAACTGGCATGAGGGAGATGCATCAGCTGATATGTAGGTCTTCACACATGGAGAAGGTTTTGGTGGAGTGGCAGGAGAGCACCTTGAAGCCTGTTGAGTTGGAGATGAGATAGCTAACACGAAAGGAGAGGATAAGCTCTTCACAATGTTAATCAATTTCACTATAATTCAAAACAAATTTGAAAAGTAACTTATAAGAAACATTGGTTTTACAAGCAAAAAATATGGAATCACTAGGATAGCTGCAAACAGTTGAATCAACCCAGGAAAATGGTTGAGTCCTAGAAGGGCTGCACAGCTGAATACAAAAATGAATGATGGGTAAGGTACGGAAGACCAAGCATATTTGAACAAAGGAGGTTTGATATAGAATGGCATGAACCTTTTGACTCCTTTTTACATGCAATATAAAACAAGAACAAGTGTGCACACAGGTGATGAAAATAAGGGACCAAAAGGAAAGGAAGTTATTGGTGTCTTTCGGGGCACAGGGTGTGTTTTCTGACAGGACATCAGCCCAGGTAGGATGTGGGCTGTCACCACCTCTTTCTTGTCCGTGTTGTGATGTCATGTATGTTTATTTTGTTATATTTCTGTCAAATGTACATGTCATGCGTTTTTCTGCATGTATAATTTACAGGAGAATGTCATGGAATGAATATAACTCACCTCAATGCCACCTTTTATTTTATTTTTTTAATTTTTATTTTATTTTTAAAATTATTTATTTTGGGAGAGTGGGGAGGGGCAGAGGGAGAGAGAAAGAGGGAATTTTGAGCAGACTCTGCACTGATCTCAGAGCCCAACACAGGGCTCGATCTCCCAACCCTGAGATCATGACCTGAGCCAAAATCAAGAGTTGGATGCTTAACCAACTGAGCCACCCAGGCACTCCCCAATGCCACATTTTAAATAACCTATCTAAAATTATCTTAGTAGGCAGAGAAAGAGCATTTTGTAGTATCCAACATTCACAGTATGACAAATACACTTACTAATTTAGGAATACATGAGAACTCTCAAATCCTCTTGGAGGGCATCTCTAAAATGTGGTTTATGAAAGAATGCACTCGTATGTGTTTAGAGTCACTTGTTCAGTAGAATTCTATACACATCATGAAAACCCAGCACTCTGGTCCCCTTCAGCAGGATTGTAGATCTCCCAGCCAGAACTAGGACATGTCAGTGTAAGAGTTACATTAAGAAAAAAGGAACTTGGGGCGCCTGGGTGGCTCAGTCGTTAAGCATCTGCCTTTGGCTCAGGTCACGATCCCGGGGTCCTGGGATCGAGCCCAGCGTGGGGCTCCCTGCTCAGCGGGAAGCCTGCTTCTCCCTCTCCCACTCCCTCTGCTTGTGTTCCCTCTCTCACTGTGTCTCTCTCTGTCAAATAAATAAATAAAATCTTAAAAAAAGAGAGAGAAAGAAAAAAGGAACTTGTCCTGTTTCATAGCCAAAGCCAATGTGTATATAGAACCTCAAGCTTATCACAGTAATTAAAAAAAAAAAAAGATAATTAACAGGTTTTGAGGATGTGTTCAGGATGTCCTTCCATTTTCATTTCTAATCACTATCAAAAAATAGTATTTAAAGCATAACATGTATAAAAGTCTAAATAAGTTATTCAAGTATCAAATAAGCTTTATGAAGAGGGAGAACCTAACGTGAAAACTGTACAATTATATTCATTGACATCAAAAAAGACCAAAACAAATGCAAATCTGGTGCATATTCCAAGAAATGAAAATCAGTGTTGCCATGATGTGCATAATTGCCAAATAGCTGAATCATTTTAATAGAATTCAATCAATATTATAACCAATTTTTCCCTGGAACTCTGTCGCATCCTGATGGGGCGCCGCTCAAGGGAAGCTCCGCGGAGAAACCGAGTCAGATTCCCGGGGAGAAGGAGGACGCTGGTGGGTTAGCGGGCCAGGAGCATCTTGCGCTGGGAAACAACCTCCCGGCAGGCGGATGAGACGCGTGTGTAGCGCCAGCCTGTCAGTCAGGATTCAGGAGGCGAGGTCTCGGAGATCTGCCCAATCCGGGACCACAGGGGCGGTGCCGGGACTGCTGTCCAATCAGAACGCGAAGGGCCGCAGGCTGTCCTATCACGGTGCGGGGAGCTCGGTGTCCTGGAGCAATATCCAATCAGGGTCGCGGGGAGTCTCTGTATTACCAATCACGTCGCAGGACCTGAAGCAACGACCAATCGGAGCGCGGGGGTGCGCACCGCGGTGAAAGGCTCATCCTCCGGAAACTGTCCAATCGGGCCTGGGGGCGGGGGCGGGGGGCGGATCCCACCCCCGTGGACCTGTGTCCGCGCCCGCCGCCGGCTAGTGCTCACCTGCCCGGAGCTGGCCCAGGTGTGGTGTGCGCGGGGAGCCCACGTGCCCAGGCTGCCGTGCCGCGTGGAGGAGTCCTGCAGAGCTCGGAGCGGAGCCGCGAGATGGTGAGTCGCGGGCCCGGGCGAGACCGGGAGGGGCTCGGTCCAACCAGCCGCGTCCGGCTGGAGGTGGCGGCGGGGCCGGGTCTCCCAACCCGGGGGTCCCCTCCGGAGTCTCCGCCCTCGGTCGCGGGGTGGGGTTCCTGCGTCCTGTGCCCTCTCCTCGTGGGTGTCCCGGTGGTCCCACCCGATAACCTGTGGTGGGCCGTGGTTTCCGGCGTCCTGTCACATCCCCGCGTGTGGGCCCTGCGGTCCCGTCCCTAGTATCTGCCGTGGCCGCGGGGTGGGGTCCTGACATCCTGTCCCCTCCCCCCGTGGAGGTTCCCCGGGTCCCGTCCTGATTCTCTGACGTGGACCATGGGGTGGGGTTCCGGTATCCCGGTCATATGCTCGCATGGGTTCCTGGGGTCCGGAGGGTTCCATCCTGAGCCTCCACTCTCGGGTACGGGTTGGGGTCCTGGGGTCCAGGTGTGATGATGACCTGGGGGTTCCCTGAAGCCAGCCTGTCACAGGAGGGGCTGTGTGTGGCTCAGGCTGAAGGCAGGTCCACCACGTTCAGGGTCTGGAGGAAGGAGAGAAGCCAGACCAACGTGGAAGCAGCAAGCGTTTTGTGCCCATGGGTCCGTGGGGACAAGCAGCTGAGCGAATCGTGGATGAGGCACAGAGTGTGGATTGGGGGGGTCTGTGCCCGGCCCTGGGGTGGATGAACAAGGGGGACTTCTTGTGAGTCCTATCTTGGTGGAATGGGGAAGGGGCCCTTTTTGCAGCCTGCTGTTTTCCAGGCCCCAACAGGGTGGGGGAGGGAGTGCCTTTCACCTCCACGGATGCTTGCCCAGGAGCACAGGACTCAGGTGGAGCCTGCCTGTCACTGACCCCGGGGGCAGCATGTCCCTGTCTAGCTCAGCACTGACAGCTCTCTCTTAGGCAGCCTCACGTTCAGCAGATGGAAGATGACTGAATGCTTTCTGCCTCCTTCCTTCCCCTTCAGCGTGGAGGGTGGTCAGTGGGTCATGTCTTCCTTTTCCTGCTGACTCGTGTTATTCTGGGGCTTATCCGGAGAATGTCCGCTGGGGGGAAAGTGTCTCAGTACAGAGACTGTCCCTGGTCATTAGGCTTGGGGGGAATATGCACGGCCCACCTTCTTGCCAGGTGACCCCAGTGTTGCAAGCACTGAAGACTTTTGCACCACATTTGCAGGGGTAAGATTTTCATATGCTAGTGGGGGAGCAGCTCCCGGTGTGCTGCCCGCCAGCACGGCTGGGCTGCTTCTTTGCATTTGCAGCTCTGCTTGTTTCCCTCAGCAAGCAGCGTGTGGCTTGATTTTGCCTCTGTTGAACTTGCCCTAGTGAACGGTACAGTGTAATTAATCATTTACCGTCCCGGGTGTAGTGTGGCTCCTCAGCCCGGGTTTGTGTCCTCGTGTAGGCGTCCGCAGGTCGGGTCACAGTTTACTCCGCCTTTCTCGTGCTTCTGTGCCTTGGGGTATTTCACATACGGTGCGGTTTTTGGTTGGTCACTGCTACTTCATTCATTCTTACTTTTGCTTCCAAGTGCAAAATGCAACTTAATATTTCTACACTTGAGAGAAAAACTGTGGGATTGGAGATTATGGGTAACTTCAATTTACTAGGAAGGGATGGGGGCCTGTATGAAATGTCATGCCCTCTCTTTCCCCCATCTGTGCCTATGTGTTTAATCCTTCCATGTGATGTCAGCACCTAGAAATGCCTACTGTATTTTTTCTCATCCAATGGGTGAGCCAGGGTCTCCCCCTTATTATGTATAATTCTGACTTCTTATAACTGAGGCTGAGCATGTGGGGTTTCATCTTGTGTGGAAGAGTTTCCTGGCATATTCCCACCTCTACTTTGTGTATTGATTTATGTGTTCTTTACATACCCTGGACATGAGTCCTTTGTTATTTTTAGGTAGTGAAGGCATTTTCTCCTGGAGGGTGGTTTACCTTTTCACTCTCTTTACTCAGTGCTACTGAATGGACTCCTCTGAATTTTAAGAGGATCGTGATCGTCAGTGCCTTCCTTTGTAACTTATTCTTTTTCCCTTTATATTAGAAAACTTTGTAATAGCAAATCCTAGAACACTTGTGTTTACCTCCTTCTGCAAGTGTTCTGCTTGTAAAATCTGCATTACAGAGATGCCTGTTTCTCCTAGGGATGCCTGGGTGGCTCAGTCGGTTAAGCGTCTGCCTTCAGCTCAGGTCATGATTCCAGGATCCTGGGATCGAGCCCTACGTAGGGCTCCCGGCTCAGCAGAGAGTCTGCTTCTCCCTCTCCCTCTGCCTGCCTCTCTGCCTACTTGTGCTCTTTCTCTGTCAAATAAATAAATAAAATCTTTAAAAAAAATTGTTTCTTCTACATGAAATTGGTATGAAAGACATTCATCATCTCCCCTAGCTAACCTCTGGCACCACCTTCTGTGGGAAAATATCCAGCATTTCCACCACTGGGCGGAGCCTGCCGGGGCAGAGCCTGCCGGAGTGGGCGGTGCCTGCAGGGACTGGGCGGTGCCTGCAGGGACTGGGCGGAGCCTGCCAGGGCAGAGCTTGCTGGGACTGGGCGGTGCCTGTGGGAGGGCACTGGGCGGAGCCTGCCTTACTGGGCGGTGCCTGCCAGGACTGGGAGGAGCCTGTGCACCCTCTTCACGGAGGCCTATCTCAGTGGCTTCCATTCTTATCCACTGGTCCCTCTCTCTGCTCTTGTATACCAGCCTGATTCGGTTGTTATTCACATGCCTTGATATGTTTTAGGGAAAGTCTCTTCCCCTTGTTCTGTAGAAAACTTGGCTATTCATAGACATTTGCCTTCAATTTCAGTTTTTTGATGTTGTTTTTCATAAATTCAAAACTACAAAGCCCGACCTGGTTTGGGATTTCGTGGAACGTCATTAAAAGTCTGGAGTTGCAGGGCGCCTGGGTGGCTCAGTCGTTGAGTGTCTGCCTTCCGCTCAGGTCATGATCCCACATCGGCTCCCTGCTCCACGAGAAGCCTGCTTCCCCCTCTCCCCCTGCTTGTGTTCCCTCTCTCGCTGTGTCTCTCTCTGTCAAATAAATAAATAAATAATAAAAATCTTTAAAAAGTCTGGAGTTGCTGTCCTGGTGGTCGGTTTTCTTTCAGAGAACACGCACCACCCTTCCATTTCTGCCTTTCCACTCCGATGTCATCCAGGAGCATTTTAGGATGTTTCCTTTACGACCCTTTTATGTTTGTATTTGACACTGTATTTGGAAAGCCTACGGTTCTCCTACGTCTTTCCACTTTTACACAGAACACTTCAGTTCTGACACTTCTGGTTACCGGATATGCCGCTGTTTCCCCCACACCGATCAACTGTCTGCAGCGCTATCTGGGTGTCCTACGATCTAACTCAATTCTGACACTTTCCGCCTGGAGACAGCATCAGACCCCACACGCTGGGGTTCAGTCCCATAAGACTGCCTCCCTTCCATAAGCCTATTGCAGATCCTAGAGCCCAGTCACCCACAACCGTCCGACTTGGCTACAAGTCAGAGGTTCGCACGACCCCCTCCTTGGATTTAGTTGCTAGAGCTGCTCACAGAACTAAGGGACCAAACACTTAACAGTTACCAGTTTATTAAGGAATATGATAAACAGTACAAATGAACAGCCACATGAAGAGGTACATAGGGGGAGGGCCACGAGCACAGGAGCTTCCCTCCCTGTGGAGTTGGGGTGCATCATCCTCCTGTGTGAATCAGATCACCTAGCTGGATGCTTTCTGCACCCCATACTATTGGAATTTTAGAGGCATCCTCACCTAGGCATGGTCAGTGATTAACTATGACCCTAGACCCTCTCCTGAGACTAGAGGGATGTGGTGTGGGGCTGAAAATTCCAAGCTTGTGGTCATGGCTTGATCTTTCTGGTGACCAGCCCCTGCCACAAGCCACCCAGAGTCACCTCATTAACATAAAAGATGCTCCTAGTGCTCTTATGACTTCATAATTTACAAGGATTTCAGGAGCTCTGTGCTAAGAACTGGGGGCAGAGACCAATATATATATTTTTCTCTTACCTCACAGACATACTTTAGGACTTTAAAAATGTGTAATAAATTGAAAAGTTGTCATTAAAATTAGTTACATATATTCTAGGTTAGATTCTAAAATTTTTCTTTATTATTTTTTAATTTTAATCACCTGGTATTCATCACACTTGCCTCCTTAATCCCCATCCCCTATTTCCCCCATCCCCCACCCACATCCCCTCTGGTAACCATCAGTTTTTTCTCTATGGTTAAAAGTCTGTTTCTTGGTTTGTCTCTCTCTCTCTTTTTTCCCCCTTCGTTTTGTTTCTTAAATTCCACATGACCGAGATCATATGGTATTTGCCTTTCTCTGACTTATTTCACTTAGCATAATATTCTCCAGCTCCATTCATGTTGTTGCAAATGGCAAGATTTCATTCCTTTTTATGGCTGAGTAATAGTCCATTGTATATATACACCATATCTTCTTTATCCATTCATCAGTTGATCGATACCTGGGCTCTTTCTCTATCTTGGCTATTGAAAATAATGCTACAGTGGGGCGCCTGGGTGGCTCAGTCGGTTAAGCCGCTGCCTTTGGCTCGGGTCATGATCCCAGCATCCTGGGGTCAAGCCCCACGTCTGGCTCCCTGCTCAGGGGAGAGCCTGCTTCTCCCTCTCTCTCTGCCTGCCGCTCTGCCTACTTGTGCTCTTTCTCTGTCTCTCTGTCAAATAAGTAAATAAAATCTTTTAAAAAAAAAGAAAATGCTGCAGTAAACATCAGGGTGCATACATCCCTTTGAATTAGTGTTTTTGTATTTTGGGGGTACATACCTAGTAGTACAATCGCTGGATCGTAGGGTAGCTCTAATTTTAACTTTCTGAGAAAACTCCATACTGTTTTCCAGAGTGGCTGCACCAGTTTGCATTCCCACCAATAGTGCAAGAGGGTTCCCCTTTCTCCATATCCTCACCAACACCTGTTGTTTCCTGTGTTATTG